CACTCTTTCTTTGATTTCTTTTCTAGTGAGATTTTTGCTGTCCCGTACTAGTACCAAGGTCTCCTTGTGCACTGGTGTTCTGCAAAACTTTTGAAGGTCTAAACCGCATCTTTGAAGCTTGCATCTTGCTATTTTAACAATGCTCAAGAAGTACCTGTCAGCAAACTGAGACAGATCCACAACAGTCAGAAAATTAACACTGAACAGGCTTGAAACTTTCTATTTTCAGTCATTTTGTGTCTATATTTTTATTTATATCTTCATGGATTCAATATTAAGGCGCATAACAAGGGGAAATTTAACTTTTTAATGTGTGTAGCTCCAACTCAATCCACCAAAGGATAAGTACACTAGGAATTAAACAGGACAAAAAGTACACTTGGTGAAGATATCATAAACAATGAATTATCAGAGGTTTCTCTTCAGTAGAGTTCAAAATGTTCTCAAACTCAAAAAGACCTATTTGCAAGCAACCACTCACATAGGAGCTAACCCCCAGTTCCTTCTCTTTGACCAATTGCGTACCATTCATTGTCATGACATGTAACAATCTCATCTATTCATATTTTTTTCTGTTAAATAATTTTTTTATTTTATGGATGGACGTAGCTATTTCAAATTTTATTATTGGTGTAATCTAACAGATAAAGGGAGATATAGTCCTGTAACTTACATTTGGAATTTCAAAGTCACCTTCACTTGCATCGCACACATCAAGAGACACTTTCCGAAGCATTGGCATCTGTAGTCATAACAAAAGGCACAACAAAAGATACAAGGTCAGACCTCGTCAGCGGGTACATAGGTTGTTAGCTCGGTACCAAAGAGGCACAGCTAAGAAATCATGCACTCAAAGGAACATGACAATGAAGAATTCCCAACATTCATTCTTGAGACTTCGTTAACTTTGAAAAAAGCTAATTAAACTGCAGCTCATAAACATGCTTACCATTGAAGCAGCAGCAAGAATAAAATTTTTCTGGATTCCAGTGCCCTGAAATGTGAAGGTTCAACTTTCGTTCAGCAGTCAAAAGTAGCAAGGTCAGATATAAAGGCCAAAGGACAAATGATACTGGAAACAGAATGTGAGAGAAAAATAGAAAAAATCAGGAAAGAACCATTTATTTCTCTCTTGTGCAGTACTAAAAATTTGATAAACATACTCAACTACTGAATGATCATAAAGTTTCAACATACCCCTCATTAGGTTGGATAAGGAACTACCTGATTCCTATAATAAGCTCAAAAGCCATGAAGCACGTGTACGGGTACTGATACAAGTATTGGTATGGTACAGGTACATCGATACGATGAAATTTTTAAAAAGTAGGGTATGGGTAATGCAGGATAAGTTCTTAAAAAATATTTATTTTTAATTTGGAGTAATGTAAAAATAGTAAAATGGTTTAGTTGGTTAAGATCCAACCTACAATTCACATTTAATGCAAAAGTAAGGTATACACCAAAATTAAATGTCATTATATTAAATAAATTACAAACCAAAGCTTATTTTTAGAACCACGCTGTATAAAAAAAAGTACAATGAAACTTGCTTCACCTCTATATAGAGCTAACGTATGGATTGAGTATATACTTGATACCTCTAGGGTACGGTAAAATTAGAAAGAAAAAATTTGAGTACGCATTTCGTGTATCTGGTACATATGCAAAAGTAACCATACAAAGTACCAGTACCCAATAAGTACCCAATACGAGTATGGCATATTTATTGAAGTACCCATGCTTCATAGCTCGGAAGGGAACCATGACTTTTTCTAAGTGCTTAACAGCCATGAATTCTCCCAGTGTGTTGGTGATGACGATTTTACTGCCTTCCCTTCTAGATTCCAACCCTCAATTGTTTACAAATCAATATAATTAGTGTAAAATACGTGAAACCAGGGTTAGGTTAGAGAGAAAGAGACGAAAGAAGGAAGAGAAAAGATACTTAGACAAATAGGGTTTTGGGTTGTTAATAAAACCCTCCATCAGCAGCATATATTTATATGAACAACACCGAAAAATAAAAATAACATAAAAATTGCATACCATGGAAAATATATATATACACTTTATGTATAGAATTTCTATGTTTATATATTCATACTATTTTATTTAAAATTAGAATTTTCTCTGTTAGGAAAAAAAGCTTATTTGCAGCTTATTTAGCTTAAAATTTGAAATTAGATGTTTACAGTTGTACTTTAAAAAGTTAAGTTGTTTGTTAAAATATTTCAGGCTTCAGCTTATTTGCTTTTTAAGCGGAAAAAGTTAAAAATAAGCTCTAAAGGCTTACTTTCTTACAATTGGATTTGAGATGCACCAGGGAATGTCATGAAATCATCTATAACATCATAAATTTTACAAATCCATATCCTGGACAAATTCAACACAGTTTGTTATTTTTGTGGCCTCCCTAGGTTGTCTTGGGAAAACAAAAGCCTCACCTTATTCAAATCAAACTGATTATTACTGTTGGCATATTATAATCACCGAAAGGCACTTAGCATATTATATTAGCCGAAAGTCACTAGGGTCTGTAATCATTTTTATGCACTCAGGGATCATCTTGTAATTGTCTTCATTGTAAACCCTAATCTTCATTTATAAATAAGGGGTGATATCTCATCATACCCTAAGCTGGTTACTCAAGCTTCAACTTCTTCATAATGGAAGTAAAAATGTTGATAATAGAGGCCTAATTGAACTACTTTACCCATGTAATATCTTTGGTGATAGAGGATCTACAGTCCTGCCTGAGGCATAACTGGAAGAACATAAAGATTGTAATTGTGAGATTAAATCACGACTTTAATAAAGTCGTGGAACTGAAACACGGTTTCATTGAAGTTGTGATTGTGAACAATTTCAGTTTGCAATATATATATTTTTTAAAAGTTGCATGTTATAGTTTATGCAATGAAGTTGAACTAAAAGTAACTCAGTGCAGATATGTTGCACCAAGACCAGCAACAATGTTCCGGAATCGACTTTGCATTGATGGGGGTTTGACATTGTTTATGCCACCCACATCTGCCACTCAGACGGTAATGATTCTTTCAGTGAAAACATAATTTAAATAACCATGCATTGCATAGTTTTGTTAGTTGATGTGGAATCACAAATATATAGAACTATCATAACTATCACTGGTGAGAGAAACCCATTAATGTTATCTGAAGTTGTTAATGCATGAATGCTGCATAGACTCACTTAACAGCAGCGTATTCATTTAGCTTCTCTTGACAAGTTTGTCAAGAATTTTTAATATTTTGATTATGAAATTCTATTACTATATTTGTGCCTTCCTGCCTTCACTTCTGACATTATGGGGGAGGTCTCTTTGAAGATTTTGTTTTGTTTTTTGGTGTTACCCCCATTGGAATTATGTGAACGTTTCCGTATAAAAAGGTTAGAAATCTAAGGTTTCATTCTGACATAGTTTCATGAGGCCTTTGAATCATCTTAGTGCTAATCACCAATCCACTTTTTCCTGTATTTTAAAGTTGATTTTTTTTTCTGTTTTTGTCTTCCATGTTGCTGCTTGTCTTTTGTTCTCTCTTTGGATTTTTCGGCCTTGGAATTTACAATTTCATAGTGTGTTGCTTCTTTTCCAAATTGAACATGTGCACTACTAAGGCGTATTTGAAGTGAATTTACTTTACTTCGCATAGACCTTGATATTGGTTTATAGTCTGTATGGTGTCATTTTTTAATTAATCTAGGATTCAAAAATCTATAAATAAACTTGTGTTTTATGATTACTCCTATAGTTTTTCTTTATGTAGTTGCTCAATTTTTGTTTTGTTGTACTGGTACCTTATTTCTATGTATGGGTGATCATCCAATTTACTTATTGATGCAAGTATTTGATTGTTTAGTGTTGTTCCGTTGCTTTTCAGATTCGTGTTTGTGCCTTCCCAGCCAGTCGATTGGGATTGCAAGGAATTGGAATTAGTCCCGACTGCAACCCTGAAAGTCGGGCTACTCCCAGAGAGGTAATCTTATAACCTGACTAGCACACCTTCTTTGAGGATAAACCAATGAAATTTTTGCACTCTCTTCATTTCAGCTTTTTAATTGGGCACTTGAGCCGGCAGAGGATGATATTCTTGATAAGCTCTTTGAGTACGGGTATTTAGATGCAGCTGTGTGGGCTGAAGAGAATCCAGTCGAAGAAATAGTTCGAGATGACCACCCACATGTTGAGAACAGTGCAGTTGCATAGTACTGTCGTGAAGATCAATCTTGTTCAAAGTTAAGATGAACGTGAAGGACCGAAACTTTTGGGGAGCTTCTATTTGCACATTCCCATTCCCCTCTTTACACACACTTAATAAAAATTATTGTTATTATAATTTTATTTTTAAGTAAAATTACTATTATGGACATTAAATAAACACATTCGGAAGTTAAGGCCTAGTTTGGGAAGACTAAATAAGTGCACTTTTTGACTTTTTTTGTATTATGTGTAGAAAAAGTAGAGAGGAGATGTTGATTGATGTGACCCAAAAAAGATAAAAAGATGAAATAAGTGCACTTTTTTGGGAGTAGCCAAACTAGGCCTAAATGTCAAAAAAATAAAAAAAATTCTGAACTTTACTTCCGAACAAGAAGTTTATTTTCGGAATGCTACTTCTGAACCAATTGTTTATTTTCAAAATTCTATTTTCGAACTAATTATTTATTGAAAAAGATGTGTAAAGAGGGGAATGGGTGTGTGCAAATAGAAGGTCCCAAACTTTTGATCCTCTCAAGTAGTGCTAGGCTTAATGAGGGGAGTGCACATGTATTGGTCCTTATCTTTTGTTGTATAGTAACATTGTTGATCACCGGTAGTTATGAGATAAAAGGGTAGAAGAAAAGAGACAAATATAAAATTGTAGATTTACAAGAATTTTATGATTTTATCAGACTCATCAATTCAAAGTCTACCTTTAGTTGAAGAATGTACTGTGTTGTCAATCATTGATCTTTAAAGCAGTTCAAAAGTGCAGAGAAGCAAAGGATGTTTTTGTTTTTGGTTAAGATCCCACATCGAAGTAGATAGAGAAAGATGTGAGGGAAAATGGGTGGATAAAAGAGATGGGATGAGTGAGAGGAAAGGCATACCTTTCTCGGCCTTTTGGCTAAGATCAAGTGTGGTATTTGTTCTTATCAATTTAATATCTGATACGTGAGCCATTGGTTCACATGATATTAAATTGATTTCTTTGAAGGGGATAGCCCATTAGAGCATCTCCAATGCACTAGGCATATAATATTTGTTAGTTAAAATGCGTAGTGTGATTCACTTTTTTCAATTCCAACGCACTAGGCATATGATTAGGTATTTTGGCTCAACTCATATTCACTAGCTACATGTAGCTAGCCTTTAACGCTAGGCAAAATGTATTCAATCATTAGGATCATTTTCCTCCATCTTTGTTGTTGACGTGGCATTCTATAAAATTAATAGTATTTGGATTAATAGCTAAAATAAAGAGCATGCTTGGAGTAAAAACATAAAACAGTTGATAGGCAAAATAAAATATATACTTTATAATAATATTTAGATAGGTAAAATGCCTACTACCATTGGAGATGCTTACAGTAGCTTGTTGCTGGGGCTCTCGAGCGTCGCCATGGCTTTGCACTACTGCCTTGGCCTGGCGCACCCCTCTGAAGCTAATCCTAATCTTCAATGACTATTTCATTTTTTAATATAATATTTTTTTAAAAATGTTGGGGACTTGGGGTTTTGTTGCGTAGATTTGTTTACTTAAGTATTTTTTAAGAAAGTATATATTTAAAGGATTTATTAGTGCATTAAGAAATAATTTATCAAAAAATATCAAAAACTTGTTTATTGAAAAGGTGTATTAAGCCTATTAGGACTTACCTTATTGCAAATAAATGTTACGGGAAAAATTACTAATATAGACTTAATATTGGCCCCGTTTGGTAGAGCTGTGGGTTGGTAGAGCTCTGGGAAAGTGATTATAGTTTATAGTTTATAACTATAAACATAAGCTGATTTTTGACTTATAAATTAAATTTCTCCTCTTCCATTCAAAGAATAAGTTGATTTTTGACTTACAAAAAGTTATAAATTGTATTGTTAAGTTGAATTAAACACATCAAAATAACTTAAATTAAACTAAAAGCTAAAATAAACTGAAAATAAATCCTACCGAATAGGGTTATTATCATGGTCTCCCAAATAATTATATAGTATTTTATTATAAAATATTAATTCTTATTTGTCTTTATCTGTCTTTGGCATATTTTTTGTTTAGCTCGTGTTATTAATTATATATATATATATGAATTTTGTTAGGGCTGATGTTATGAATTTTATAACAATCGACAATCACCTTTTATAATTTTCATTTTCACTTATTTTTAAAATAAAATTTTAAAATAATTTTGTACTAATATATATATATATATATATATATATATATATATATCTAAAATAAATATATACATATTTTATATTTTTTATAAACAAACAACCAAAAGTAATGAATGGAAAAAAGAGAGGGAAAAAAAAATCACTTATCTTTAAAACAAGATTTTAAAATACTTATGCATTAAATATATTTTTATTTTTGCTTTTATCTAAAATAAATATAAACATATTTAATATTTAAAAAAAAAAATTGGGATAAGATCCATCGAAGTGGGTAGCCTTAACCAAATGAGTTTGGTAGCTTGAAAGCTGTTCCAAACCCTGTTGGGGAGATGCCAGCCATCCCTGCCTTTTCCGAACACAATTATTCCTATTAGGCTTGTTATGAGTTATTATGGAAAGTTAGTTAAAAGTTAATTTTTAATTTTTTTTTTAATTTTTTTTAAAAAAATGTGGAAAAAAATAAAAAAGTAATATGATTCAAAATTCCCAAATTAAGCCTATATATACACTACAAAACAATTCTATATAAAGGATGCAGGACACTGAATTGAAATTATCTAAAAAATAATTATTTTATTTTATCTTATTCCAGTGAATTAAATAGAATATTAATATTTTATTTCACTTGGAACATTGTTGTACTTGTATATTATAAATGTACATATATAAGTCACAAAATCACTAAACTTTCTACTATATTTTTGCACGCTTATAAGCAAGCAACAATAAATTCTAGAGGGTAGGACTATTGTGTCTGGGAAGCAGAAAACAATCACACAAGCAAGAACATACAAAGATTTACATGGTTCGGCAATAGCCTATGTCCACGGGCAGCGGATTTTATTATATTTGGAACAAGAATTACACACTCTATAATTCTCTCTCTGTGTTCTGTATTCTCTTTTCAACTCACCACACTGACCCCCTCCCATTCACTAACCATTTATAGATGAAATGGAGGGCCAAAGTTTTCAACAAGCCACCGACAACATTTATGGCAACTACCAAGCATTTATGGCAGCCATCCTACCATGAGTAGCTCGACTGAAAATGTCTAACTTCTTCAATTTTTTCTTCAATCAACAGCCATCAATCAGCAGCCATCGTTGAAAATCTGAGCCAATCTTCAACAAATCTCCACCTTGGCGAGGATTCTCTATCCAATATAGTGATCGATCAACATTGCCATGCACCCAAAGGTGCTCAGTTTCGAGAGATGTTGACCAAGTCCAAACAGTGTTGGAACTTGATCCCAAAAACCACTTTTGTGAGCCTATCGGCCGAATTATTTGTAGTGCTAATCTTTTGAAGCAGAATATCCCTTTCATTCATAATTTCTCGGACGAAATGGAAACGAACATCAATGTGCTTGGTGCGAGAATGATGAACCTGGTTCTTTGCCAAACAAATGGCATTCTGACTGTCGCAGTACACCTTAACGTGCTTCTGAGCAATACCCAAGTCCTCAATCAACCCATGTAGCCAAATACCTTCCTTAAAAGGCTTCTGTCACTGCCATGTACTCTGCCTCTGTAGTAGACAAAGCCACCGTTGACTGAAGCGTTGACCTCCAACTCACCGGCCCTTTAGCAAGCGTAAATAAATACCCTGTTGTTGACCGGCATTTGTCCAAGTCACCAGCATAATTTGAGTCTACATATCCAACCATATTATGTCCGAGTCTATGATCTCTCTCGAACTTCAAACCCATATTAACTGTGCCATGCAAGTACCTTAAGATCCATTTCACTGCCTACCAGTGACCTTTCTCCGGATCATGCATATACCTGCTTACCATACTCACAGCATGTGAGATGCCTTGTACAAACCATAGCATATGTAAGGCTCCTGAAATATGTATTTACTTCTTATACCCTAATGATGATTTATTTTCTTAAAACCCTCGTTTACTTGAATCAATTCGAATCTTGATAGTTAGTAATTGCTAGTTTTATTTTTATCCAAACAGAAATTCCCTAACCTAATTTAATTCTACCTAAGTTACATGTATTTAACTTCAAGCCCTCATATATTTTTTTTATTCCAAAATAGTACTTATATCTTGTACCTTGATATGCCATCAATCTTGCCATATATATATATATGTGTGTGTGTGTGTGTGTGTGTATACACCTTGAGGGATGTGCCTAGTACCAAAATTAATAAAAACTTTGTCCCATCACACTTCCCCAAGGCTAGCCTTCCTAGGAAAGGGAGAGAACAGCCAATTTTCTAAGACCATGATTATGAAATCCTAGAGAAATACAACCTAGTGACCTACCTAGGATGCAAAATCCAAGAATTAGTTTTATTACAACTAGATGTGGCCTAAACCAATGGAGCAAGCCTCCTAAGCCCCTTCTATTCCTTTAGAATTCAATCAAACCCTAACCCTTCCATCCAATTCCAACTAAAGGGCTTTTATGTCCTTTTACCCCAATTTGCCTATATATACCACACCCTCCCTAGCTTGCAAACATACACACAACACACTCACTCACACATATTTTGGTTAGAGAGAGGGAGAAGGCAAGGAAGAGAAATCTAGAGAAGAAGAAGGAGGAAGAAAAGAGAGTTTCTTGTGCAAAGCTTGGAGGGTAAGCCACCAACACAACCCTCTCTTCATTTTCTTTTCTAATGCATGTTTTTGAAGATTCTAAATAAAGTTTCAGATCTATTATTATCAAGTTCCTATGTTAAAAATACTAAGATTTGAGTATTGTTTCCATCTCGCATGTATTTTACCCATTTTGGCACAAAACCATCTTCTTTTGTACACGTCTCTCAACTTTTCAAGGGTACTCTTTCAAACAAATTTTCTGAGTTAAACATGTGATAGTTAGCTTATTTTCTTCACAAAAGAAATGAAATTTTCCCATGTTGGAACCCTCTTTTTATAAATTTCCTTGTTTTGGGCATTCTACCTTAAAACCTGTTTTTTTCAGTCAACTTTCAAAAATTCCAGAAAAATGTACAAAAATATTCTGAACCTCTATTTTATGTCAAAACCTTCCTTAAGGAGTTAGCTTTCAACTAAAATTGGTTTCATCGAAAAAAATTGAGTGGTTTGCAAGAAAATCAAGTTCTCGTAACAGTCGACAGATTCTGGAGCAGTGCTGGACTATTTTCTAAATAACTTAAAATCGGGAAAAGCAATCCCATTTCCGAAAAATGTTCTAGAAACTAGATCAAATTCTCTACGAACCATAGGAAAACTGAGTCTGGTGGATGAACCTAAGTAGTCCTTCCATATTAACCTTCATGTGATGTTAAATCTGGAAATTTGTTATGTTTGGATGTTTATACCCTTGTATTCATGCAAAATGTTTAATGGCTTATTATCGTATCTTGGCATGATGTTGTATGGGTATGTTATGTTATTTATCTTCTTATCTTGAGGAGGCATGCTTATGTGGATTTTATTTTATCGTTTAGTTGGACTAACCTTGACTTAAAACACTTAATTCAACGGGAAACCTAATTGGGTGGGTATTGCATTTTCGAACACTTGAGTAATGAAAAGATGAGAAAATGTGATATATGGTTTGTTGGGATGCGTTCCCTATTCGAGGTTAAATCTTGCGCAAGTGGTTTTCGGGACCCTTGAACGGAGCGGTTGTATTCGGACCCTAGGTGGTTTGGTGTAAGGAGGGATTCGGGCAAGGCCCTATTTTTACCGTCTCTTTTGAGGCCCTGCGGTTGGCGCTACGCGGTATATAACTGTTGGTAGGCATCCGAGGTTAGTTCTGCAACAAAGCAGCAAAAGAGGGGGTATACCGAATAATCCGCGTCCGATTCTTGTGGTCGGGAGGACGGAATCTCTTTGGGGGATTTCTAGTTACTAACATCTGAATCAACTCTTAATGTATTTATTTGTTTATTGGAGTATCATGCTTTACTACTTGGTGCTATAAATGTGATTGTGTATTGGACTGGGAAAAAGGGGTGGGGTGTGTGTGTGTTTACTGGGCATTCAAAGCTCACGGCGTATCATGCCAGGTGACGAAGCGAAACTCGTAGCGGAAGACGACGAGCCGGAAACCTTTGAAGACTTTTGGCTATCTTAGGAATACTAGAAATTTCCTTTTTGTTATTTTGTAAGACTCATATGAAGTTTAAAACTTTCTTTTGGGATGTAATGTAATGGAACAATCTTTTTAATCAAGTATATTGCGGTTATTATGTAATTATATTCTATGTATGAACCTTAGCATTGCTTATGAGACCTTGTGTCAATGCCTTGTAAGATCTGTCAAAAAGGTAGTGCGCTGCCTAAGAAAGCCGGACTTAGAAGGGAAGCTATTTGACTCCTCCGGTGATCTAGGATCTTACTTGGTTATTGACCATAGGACTCACTAGTGACTTTCCCTTGACTGCAATCTATAGTGTAGAATCGGGGCGTCACAGCATACATTAATGCACCAACTGCATTTGCATATGGAACCTGTGCCATATGTTTCCGTTCTTCTTCTGTGCATGGAGAAATCAAAGCACTAAGCTTGAAATGAGGGGCTAATGGTGTACTCACAGCTTTTGTTTTTTCATTTATGCCAAATCTGTCTAACACCTTTTTCAGATACTGGGTTTGTGTCAGACAAACTGTGCCCTTCTTTCTGTCTTTTTTGATCTCCATGCCAAGAATTTTCTTTGCTTCGCCAAGATCCTTCATTTCGAACTCTCTTGCCAACTGTGCCTTGAGTTTATCAATCTCTATCTTGTTCTTAGATGCAATCAGCATATCATTTACATATAAGAGCAAATAGATGAAGGAACCATCAGAAAAGCTTAAAGAAATATACACAATGATCATACTGGCTTCTTGTGTATTTCTTTTTCGCCATGAACCGATCAAATCGCTTGTACCACTGTCTTGGGGATTGCTTCAACCCGTACAACGATTTGTTCAGCTTACATACCCAATTCTCTTTTCCAGCAACTTTGAAACCATCTGGCTGGGACATGTATATCTCATCTTCAAGATCTCTATGTAAGAAGGTAGTTTTGACACCGAGTTGGGCGAGCTCGAGATCAAACTGTGCAACCAAAGCTAGCAAGATACGAATAGACATGTGCTTCACAACAGGTGAGAATACCTCATTGTAGTCTATTCCTTCCTTCTGAGCATAGCCTTTAGCTACCAATCTAGCTTTGAATCTGATGTTGTCTCTGCCTGAGATGCCTTCTTTCTTGGTGTAAACCCACTTACACCCAATTGCTTTCTTGCCTTTTGGAAGTTGCACCAACTTCCAAGTCTAGTTCTTATGAAGTGACCCGATCTCTTTATCCGCAGCCTCCTTCCATTTGACACTTTCTGCATTCTGCATGGCTTCTTTGAAAGTGTAAGGAACATTGTCTTTAATGATTGGAAGTGCATAAGCCACCATATCAGTCATCTAACTGGGTTGCTTAATAACTTTTTTTTCTTTTTTGATTGCAATGGGTTCTGATTGTTGTGGGGCCTCTGGATCTTCATTCTCATTTGAACTCTCTTCAGGATCTTCTTCAGAGTTATCAACTAAAATTTCTTCAGTATTGTTGCTTGTGCGAACAGTCTTCGCTGGAGTCTCAAACTCCACCTGCACTGATTTCTTCAATGCTTTATCATTTTCTTGAGGATTTAGTTGCTTCAACATTGTAGACTCATCAAAGGTAGCATCTCTTCTAGTAACAACTTTCTTTGATTTAGGGCACCAGAGTCTATATCCCTTGACACCGTCACTGAAGCCCAAGAAGATAACTTTCTTGGCTCTAGGATCCAACTTAGATTCTGTAACATGAAAATAGGCTGGACATCCAAAGATGCGTAGCTGATTATAACCAGTAGCTGGTGCTCCTGACCATACCTCCATGGGAGTCTTGCCATCTAGTGCTGCAGCAGGTAGTCTATTGACAAGATGACGAGCATAGTTCAGTGCCTCTCCCCAAAATGCCTTGCTCAATCCTGAATGTGACAGCATACACCAGACTTTCTCCACCAAAGTGCGGTTCATGCGTTCTGTAACTCATTTTGCTGTGGCGTTCCACTAACTGTGAAATGTCTTACTATCCCTTCATTCCGGCAAACCTCAAAGAAGGGATCTGATATGTATTCGCCGCCATTGTCAGATCTGAGCTTCTTGATCTTCCTGCTTGTCTGGGTCTCAATTATTTTCTTCCATGTAAGAAAGATGTCTAATACTTCATCTTTTTGTTTCATTGTGCAAACCCATACTCTTCTTGAGAAATCATCAATGAACGACACAAAGTAATGTTTACCTCCTAAAGAAGCATTCTTGGAAGGTTCCCAAACATTTGTGTAAACGTAGCCCAAAATCCCTTTGGTACGATGAATGGCAGTACCAAACTTGATTCTTGTTTGCTTGCCCAGTACGCAACGCTCGCAGAACTCAAGCTTCTCTGTTTTGGCGCCTTTCAACAAGCCTTGCTTTACTAATCCTTGTAAAGCCTTTTCTCCAGTATGCCCTAAGCGCATGTGCCAAAGTCTGGAAGTGTCTGATGCATCATCCTCTGAGCTGGTGGAGACAGCCACTCTTCTTGTGACTGTAGAGCCATCTAGGAAATATAAATTTCCCTTTCGAGTACCCTTCATTGCAACAAATGCTCCTCGAACAACTTTGAGGACTCCACCTTCCACAGTTACTCTGTAACCTTTGGAATCTAAAACTCCCACTGAAATGAGATTCTTCGTCAAATCTGATACATACCGAACATCTTCAAGAATTCTGATTATTCCATCATGCATCTTCAGTCAAATTGTTCCAATCCCTTTTGTTCTGCAAGCTTGGTCGTTGCCCATCAACACAACTCCTTCATCGAACTCTCGAAAGCTCGAGAACCACTGCTTGTTAGGACACATGTGGTAGGAACATCCGGAATCTAGAATCCATTCATCAGAATGGCCAAATGATGAAACTGTAAAGGCTGATCCGTCACCATTATCTCCATCTCGTTCAACGTTCACCTTTTCCTCTTTCTTGTCTTTATTGGGACAATTTTTTACCCAATGCCCCTTCTAGCGACAAACAGCACACTCGTCTTTTGCAAGACGTCTTCTATCTGATGATCTCCCTCTGGATTTTGAGCGAGACTTTCCCCGTCCTGTAAATCTTCTGTTATTCATCATGCCTCTAACTGTCAATGCCTCTGATGCTGAGTCCTTGTTTGCAGACTTATCTTTCCTTTTGAACTCATTATTTACCGAGGCGTTTGAAACATCGACATACTTGATCTTTTCTTTACCATACAGTAAAGTGGTGGTGAGATGATCATATGTGTCAGGTAAGAAATTCAACAATAACAGTGCTTTATCTTCATCATCAATTTGAACATCCAAGTTTTTCAAATCAGCAATAATTTTGTTGAAATTGTTCAGTTGTTCGTTCATCGAAATACCTTTCTTGTAGTCAAAACGAAACAACCTCTTCTTCAAGTAGAGGCGATTCTCAATGCTCTTTGTCATGAATTTGTCTTCCAACGCCTTCTAAAGCTCCTTTGCAGTATCATATTCTGTGAAGGCATACTTCTCCTCTTTTGCAAGGCAAAGTCGGATGGAACTGCAGGCCAAGAGATTCACTTTCTTCCATTCTATCTCGTCCAAGTCATCTGGTTTGTCTCCCAAAGTGAAGTGCAGGTTTATCTAGACAAGCATATCTTTAACTTCACATCTCCACATGCCAAAGTTGCTGCTACCATCAAACTTCTCTACCTCGAACTTAGCGTGGGACACGGGGCTCCAACGCCTAGAGTTGCTTGTAACCGCAGGGATGCTTGTAGACTCGGCTGATCTCGTCTCTGTAGATTCTGTCATTGAGACTGCTCAATAATCTCCACCATAAACAATAATGGACGCTTGAAATGCCCGGAACACGACAAATTCTAAGCTCCTGAAAACTTCACTGAAAATTCGGGTCCGAATCTAAAAAAAGGGAATCCGTGGTTGTGTCCGGAATGGTTAATTTAGCTAGGAAATCACTTTTTCCACCTTTCTAGGGACCCTAATGAAATTTCTCCAAATCTAGGGGCCAAATTGCAATTTCTCAAAAAATCTAGGGACCTTACTGCAATTTACAAAAGTTTCAAGGGCTAAATTGCAATTTCAGCAAGATTAGGGGTTGAAATGTAATTTACCAAACTTTCAGGGGCCTCCCTACAATTTCAAAAAGTTTGGCGGACTGGGATTGATGATGTGGCAGATTCGCTGATGTGGCGATAACGTGGCAGTTGAGCTGGCGATGACGTGTCTCGACACGTGGCAGTGTTGGTGGGACGATGATGTGGCAGGTGTGTTGATATGTCAATAACGTGGCAGTTGAGCTAGCAGTGACATGTCTCGACACTGCCAGTGCTGGGTGGAACGATGACGTGACAGGTGTGCTGATGTGTCAATGACGTGATAGTTGAGTTGGCAGTGAGATATCTCGACACGTAGATCAGACATGGCAGTGACTAGGCTAACACTTGGCGTTGATGTAGTGTGACGTGTCGACAATGTGGCAACTTCCAAAAATAAATTGGAAATTTGTTTGAGAAGGGTTTTGAACCCTTGACCTCAAGGCTTCAAACCAAATGCTCTAACCACTCTGCTAAGTATGAACTTGTGTTATTTTAGTGGACAAGTGAATACTTGAAGCCTTTAGGATAGGTTGACTTCTTCAACCTTTGCTTCTACGCCGGACTGAACTTTCCGGCAAGTCTTCGGTAGAACTTCAGCAAGCGCGTGAAGTGTCCTCATGAGTTGGTCTTTCTGAGTCTGAACTCCTCTCATCGAGGCGGTCGTCGTGGTATGCTAAACAACTTAATTTTGACAACTTTAAAATTTTCAGTTTACAGAAAAACACTAATGTTTTTCGCACAACAATACTCTGATACCAATTTGTTGTGCCTAGGAAGCAGAAAACAATCACACAAGCAAGAACACACAAAGATTTACGTGGTTCAGCAAATCGCCTACATCACGGGCAGCGGATTTCATTATATTTGAAACAAGAATTACACTCTATAATTCTCTCTTTTTGCTCTGTATTCTCTCGTCAACTCACCACACTGACCCCCTCCCATTCACTAACCATTTATAGATGAAATGGAAGCCACCGACAACATTTATGGCAACTACCAAATATTTATGGCAGCCACCCTACCATGAGTAGCTTGGCTGAAAATGTCTACCTTCTTCAATTTTTTCTTCAATCAGCAGCCATCGTTAAAAATCTGAGCCAATCTTCAACAAGGACACCAGTAACTCTTAATGCCAATGACTACACATCTTTGTCAATAATTTTTTTATTCTTTTATTTTCTTTTATAATTATTGATTCTCATCTCTTTTGTAATTATTATTAAAATTATAATTACAGTTAGCAAAGGCAGACTACAGATATTTTTTAAACATTATCGTTGATATAAATATATATTAAGTCCATCCCACTTTTACATAATACACATTTTTAACACACTTTTTTATTCATTCCATTGACAAGTTATTTACATGCAGCAAGTGAAAAAATAAATAAATATGTATTTTATTTTAAAGGATGAATTTCCAGTTAAGGGAACACTCAGTCACAGGAATCTCGAGCCAGTATTGTTGGGAGTGCATTAGAAGGAAAAAACTTTTACAGGAATAGAAGGTACCGTGCGAATTTTGGAGAGATAGGATCCCACCTCAAGAGGTGGTAATAAATATTAGTGTGGAATCTAAGAATGGACACACCACCATTATTAAAGAGGAACTCTATAGAATGGATCCACCATTCTCAATATGAACAAGTTTCCTTGATTACCCCTCGATATTCTGCAAAAAAAGAAAAAAAAAGAAGATACATAAATGATCAATATGAGTGAAATGGGTTTTTCTAATTTCATGAATTAACAGAGAAAAAGGGAACACTTTATTTATTTATCTTTAACAAACAAAACAGAGCAATTTATTTTTTTTTATTATTTTAAATCAATGCCTCACATAGTTCAGAAGAAGGATTAAGTTAAACAGTCCTGTTGTCTTTATGAGTAACAGAAGGTAAAAATGATATGTAATTAGATTTATGGGGCATTATGATACAATATTAGAGAGGTTCAAGTCATACCCATGACCGCAAAAAATAAGTTGCACATATTGTTGATTAGACTAATCCGGTTTAATGTAAAGAAACTAAAATTCCCTACACTCACTTTCGAACTCTCTTAAGGTTGGGGTTGAAGCAGCAACTATGTGAACTAAATTTGGGATGTCGTGAGGAATCAGACAAAAAGCAGTTGAAAGAACTCACCGTAACTCCTCATCCAAGTATGTGATTTCCAGTTGACCATGCCCGCTTCCACGCGACTTTATAGGTATCTGTGAGGCATTACAAATTAGTTTGGAGATAGAGAAAGCTAAATACATAGAAATTTTACAAAATGAGACAGAGATGTCAGATAACAACTGTTGGAAGTAAGGTCAGTTACAAAAAGCTTTGCAACATTCCAAGCTATATGCAACCTATTCAAGCAAACTGCACAAATTATAGTTATGGTATATATGTTTTATCATGAGTCAAATCATAACTTTGCAACCTATTGAAAGAAAATCGAATGATTTAAATTTAGAATCGGTAGCATCATAATTAAGCACAGCCTATGACAGAAGAACGTCACAATAAAAAGAAAATTTCACCTACCAGACTGCCAATTTTGAAACTGTCGAACTTAACAGCTACCCTCCTTGCATTTAGAGGTACTAGATTAGCCGTCGCCTGCAAAAATATTGACAGATCGACCTTAAACTACATGAAAAATCTTAGGAACATCACAAAGTTTTCTAATGAAAGAGCAGAAATTGGAATGGAATGAATCTTCAAGATAGGCGGTAAATATCTGTTGCCAAAATTGTAGACTATGAGATTAACCTCAAATAGCATAGCATAGGACGTCTGTGGGCAGTATCATAGATAAAGAGTTATGTCCACAGAGGTGATGTATCAGGAAGGCCAAATGTTTGTGTTCATATTCCCATTGGGCAAACTTTTCAACCCTTTCAACAAGGAACCTTGGTATTAACACTTTTGGCAATGTCCGGAACACAAAATTACTATATCAATTTCGATACTGAATATAGAATTAGTACAGAATACTGACTATGGACTTAGTATCCAAGTTATCTGGATTTAATCTAGAAGAAGAACCTGATTGAAGAATGGCCAAGTTTCCAAATTTTGAGCCCTCAAAGTATCAGCATTAATTGCCTGGTAGATTTTACCGTTTGGTCTCAGCAGTTTCGGTCTCTGCTACAATTATCCATGGTTAAAATTATGAAATAATAATATTCAACGAGAAAACAAAAGAAGTAAACAGAAATAGCCATTTCCAGCTACTCACATTCAAAATATACAAGTGTACTTGTACAAGCATGGTATATCATAATAACAAGGCGAGTGCTACTCGATTATTGTTGTTGTTGTTGAAAGGTGACGGGATTTGGACATGGTGTATGCTCCTTAGTAGCTCCCATACACACATGATGGGGGTTGGAAAACAATCGGAAGATGTGTGTTTCCGAAAAAAATACCTGAGTCTGCAGAATTGATTTAGATGTTGTATATAGAAGCTCCCATTTTCCATTCAGAAGGTTAGACTTAAGGGGCTCCTTTACTTTATTTACGGCTTCAAGTTTTCGTGCAATCTGAACAAGCCAAAAAAAAAAAAAAAACCCAAAAGACATCTGGAATATTAAAGATTATGGGATTTTGATTGTATGATGCTCCTTCTAAAACTTGTTCACCATAGGACACAGGCCAGTTTCATGGATGAGCAATTACAAGCACCACACACATAAATAGAAAACAGCAACCAATAATTTTATAGTAAACTTAGTTCATAAAAAGGTTGTAGAAAATATAGTATGCAGACTTTATTAAACCTGAAAAGACACACATAGAATAAATTACCTAATTTGATAATCCTCAGAACAATTCCCAAACCACTAACAAAAACATATTAAACCTGAAAAGACACACATATAATAAATTACCTAATTTGATAATCCTCAGAACAATTCCCAAACCACTAACAAAAACATTACCTAATTTTACTCCAATCTGTATCTACTTCAAAGCAATTGAATCTTTTCCAGTGTTTCTAGAATTCCAACAGGTTAATTACATAGAAACCCTTTAATTATCACTAAATATCACTTCAAAACAATACATTTAAACCCTAACCACTATTTTTAAAAGAATAAATACATAAATAGAAAAGGTACAAATGTTTCCCTGAAAATGATACAATTTTATAGTCAAGAATCCAAATGTACCAGTTTGTAAAGTGATATTGATAATTGGGGAAATGCTAGTGTAATTAACCCATTCCAATTTATTCAATTAACTTAATAATCCACAGAACCATCAAACCCCAAATTAACTATCAAATAAAAATTAAATTAAACACACAAAACAAAATCTATCAACGCACCTCATCGATGCGCTCTTGGTCTTCAGGGGAGGCATCAGCACCACGGTCGAGAGGAGCAATGGCATCAAGAAGCTCCTCCTTGAGGCTCTCGCTGTCTTTGGTTTTGGTCAAAAAGGAAGTGAAAAAAGAAACCCTAGTTCTCCATTTCTGGTAACCTGAAGATTCCAAAGGATTGAATTTGTTGGTGGTGTTGGTGGTGGTGTTGAAGTTGGGTATTGAAGATTGGATGTGAATAAAGTTAGGGTTGTTGGGTGTTTTGGGGGATGATGAGAGAAGTGGTTTGAGAGTGGTTGTAGTAGTAATGGGTGAAGTGTGATAATTGAAGGGGTTTGTTGAAGATAGAAGAGTAGTTTGCAGAGTAGCAGATGATGATGAAGAAGTAGTAGTAAAAGCAGCCATTGGATGGTTGGTTGGTTGATTTCAAAAGTTAGTTTTTAGTTTTTTTGGTCCTTTTTGTTTTTGATCTTAGAAAAATGGATAGAGTTTGGGTTCTTCTTCCCTTTCCTCTCTCTGCTGCAGTTACTTCCCGCCAATAACTGCTAAAAATCTGCCAGGTAGACTGTAAGAAAAATTGATAGAGCCAACAGGATGGGTCAATACGTATCAAAATATTATGGTTTCGTTTGGTTTGTATTTCTGAAAAAATTTTAGGAAATTTTCTCTATAAATAAGTTTTTAAAAGTATTTAAACCAAATAAATTTTTTCAAAAAAATTTCTCAAAACTTGTAAATCAAACAAGTTTTCCAAACAAATCTCTTTCTCACACACATCAAATCAATCACTTTTTTCAAAACTCACTCTCAAAATAATTTTCTAAAATATCTTTTGAAAAAAACTAAACCAAATAATTTTTCGTACTTTTTATCTCTAAAACACATCTCTCAAACACAAACCAAACATACTTAGGTCTCGTTTGGGAACAGGCTAATTTAGTAACTTTTTGGCTATTTGGCTAAAATATGAACTAAAAAAAACTAGTATGTTTGGGATGACTTTTTAGTTTTTTACGAAAAGATGTACAAAAAGTAGAGAGAAAAGAGAATCTTTGACTTTTTGATATGGGTTGTTGGGTTTTTGACTAATTTAGTAACTTTTTGACTTTTTGGCTAAAATAGAAGGTTCCCAAACGAAGCCTTATTTTTAAATATTTTTATATTATACACGATAAAAATATATATATATATTTATATTATAATTCATTTAGTATTAGAAGATAAAAGACTATTAATACACTTTTTATAATATTAGTTAGGGAATGAAATATTTGTAGAACAATTTTCATAATTTTTCTTCAATTATTCCTAATGTAAAAATCTAGCAAAGTTTTATAAATTCTTTAAAATATCATGTAAATATCTTATTTACATCAATTCGATAAAATCAAATTGTAATATATAGTCTGTTTCGATTCTTCAATCAACAAAATCAAAAAATTTAATTCATTGTTAAATTTTCCTTCGACTCTAATTGAAACCATTTACACTCCTATTCCCATATGACATTCATTTGCAAGGATTCAAAAAACTATTACACCCAAAAAAATAAATGTACAACTCATTTGGTATGAACATTTTTCTAAATTTTGTCACATTTTTTTATTTTTTAAAATGTTCGTCACAATTAGTAAGTTTGATAATTGTCTATGTAACAAAACTGTTCAGCTGTATTTAAAATTTTATAAACATGGATAATTTGTATTCATCTTTTTCATTTACAAACTATAGAGACATTTGTGCATGCATCACCAATTATCAAAGAACTTTTTTCGGTGTCTCCTTGAAAATTATTGAATAGATTCGTAGGCAAACATGAAACCGGATTAGAGTACGCCCCTCTGCAACAATACTTGTCCGAATTGAATATACTCCGGCAAGCTAAGGCCTTCCCATAACTACAGTTCCCTCCTTTATTCTTCACTGGTGTGATTGCCACACCAGTGGCAAATCGAACCCGTCAACAAGGCTAACATCATACTCGTCAAGCCCTCCTCCAGTGGTAAAACTGTCAATAGGATGAAACCATTAGTGCTGAAGAAGTATATAGGGGATTGTGGTCTGGAGGCAGAGTCTAACCGTCCCAAGTAGCAGTACATTATAAGAGCATGAAGCAAGTTATTTCGTTTAACATCTCACAAAAGATCCCAGATATTAAATGTCAAGACAACTAATCGATGTCCGAGAAAATTATGTTGTTAGTTCATCATCAAGCCCTAGCTACACAAATTGTGATGACTTTAACTTCAAACGCGTATGTCGCTATATCAGGGCAATAAATAAATTTAATCTAGAGAGAAAAAAAAGAAAAAGAGTTTATCAAAAAATTGACAAATCTTCTCTTATATTATCCTCATTTCAGTTAATCATCCTTTTTCTTTGTGGCAGACCTCTTCCATGGGATCACGGTATATTTTGTCCTCTCGGCTGCTTCAGTGTATTGTGGCGTGTCTTTTGTTGCATAATCAGGCTGCAAAATTGAACAGTTTGATAGTGACTACATGGACTGCCCTATGCTGAACTTGTGGTTAATTTTCTCCGGACAACTCTTTTTCTCCGAGCCTTGGGAGGTGATGCCTCCCCTTCATCAGCAACAGAGTCGCCTTGCCCTTGTTTGATTCCGAGAAGCCAGAAACAATGGCATTCTTTGATATGAACCAATTTGAAGTAAGCTGACTAGCAGGCTCAGACGGTCTGTTATAAGCCTTTAAGATAGCATCTGACTGAGCTAATGGATCCACCCCCACCCCAAGCCAAGCCAGCCTCGATGTCTCTCCTAACTGAACATTCACAATCCTACAGGCATTTGGAAAACAATATCGTTACAAAGTAACTCAATATAGAAAGGATAGAAAAATGGAACTTAGACTCCTAATGATGCTTAATAACAGCTCAAAGAGTAAGAGTCAGCCATGTTACATGACCCGGATACGGGTGTCGGGTGTGCCTAGAGATCGGATCTATCAAACCTCAAATTTAAGGATGGCAGACTGGGCAAGAAAGGGGTGATAGGTTTATATTTTGAATATATTTTGTCAAATAAAATGGTATCACATGTTAACATACAATGTCAAAAAGCCATTTTACTCATTTCAAAGCAATTATATAACAATATATATATATATATATAATGGTAGGATTAAATATAAATATATAAGTCGGGTAAATTTTTACAAATATCTTTAATTTTTCTTACTAAAGCTATATCTTATTGGTTAAAATATTTTTGTCCTATGGGTGTGGTCTTACTATATAGAGGTCCTATTATTTTGCTAAGGTTAGGAATATACATTCGTGCATAATTTAAAATCTCTAAAAATGATTGAAGTTGTTTTGTATCTTCTAATTTATCTGGGTAATCTAAAATTTTCTTAACTATGTGATGTTGTAGCCTGATTTTTCCATCTCCTAACTCTATTCCTAAAAATTCTATATGAGGTTTATTTAATACCGTTTTTCTCTTACTAATTATTATTCCATTGTTTATAAATTTTTCTAATACTATATATAAATGATCTATGTGACTATTTTTATTTGGACTAAATCTAGGGCTGTTCAAAAATCTATTCAAACCGGTAATCCGGACCGAACCAAACCGAATCGTACAGTTTGGTTCGTTCTGTTAAGAACTGGTTCGGTTTTGGTTTAAGAAATATGAGAACCGTAAAAACGGTTCGGTTAATCGATTTTATGAAAAAACCACGGTTTGAACCGAACCGAATCGAATTTTAAAAGATATATATATAATATCAAGTTTTATTTTTATTAATTCGTTTTTTGTAATTTTAATGATATTAGGATGATATAGATATGTAATGTTGAGTAATGCCTTAATATTATTAGTTTTTATCATGAGTTAAATGTAATTAGTTTGAGTAATTATTTTGCTAATATTTACAATTTATTCTTGTAAATAGAAATTTTTTGGAACCATGAACCAAACCGAAACCGAAACCGAATCGTTTTTTCGGTTTGGTTTTGGTCCGGTTTTACAAGTGTAATGGTCTGGTCTGGTCCTTAAAATCACAGAACCGTTAAGATCGGTTCGGTTCTTGGATTTTCTCATAACCGAACCAATCCAGACCATGTGCACCCCTAGCTAAATACTTGTATGTCATCTATATATACCAATATAAAACTATATTTATTAAATATACTATCCATCTTAGGCTGAAATATGAAAGGTACATTTTTTAGTTCAAAAGGCATGACTAGCCATTCATAATGTTCTTGTGGGCAACAAAAGGCTGTCCAAGGTATGCTTTCCTTTTCCATTTTGATTTGCCAAAACCCTGACTTGCAATCAAATTTGCTAATATTTTTGCTGTCTGTATTCTATTTATAAGCTGATCTTTATCTGGTATATTGTATTTATCATATTCTGTATTGTCATTTAATTTTTTATAATTTATAACCATTCTAGCTTTCCCTCTTTTTATCTTTACATGATTTTTAACCATAAATGCGGCGTTTCTATGTGGGCTATTTATGTGGGCTACTACTAGGTCGAATTACTCCTAAATCTAATAACTCCTTAATCTGTGTTCTAAATTCTTCTATATCTGTTGGAGTATGATCTATTTGTGTTGATGTAATCCTATAATCTTTATTTTTTATATCTAAACTAGCTAAAACTTTATTTCTTTCCCAGTATTTCGTGGGTTGTTCTCCTAAAATTTATGTTGTTTCAGCTAATTTTATTATTTCATATAAATCATTTTATGTTCTTCTGTATACTGGTTTTCTCTTTAGCTTTCCTATTTTTGCGAAAATTAATTTTAAATTAATTTGTTGAAAGTCTTTTGGGTTCCAATAGTTACCTTTTTCTTCGAATTCAAAATCTTCTATGTCTTTTAATTCAAAATCTTCTATGTCTAAATTTTCTAAAGAAGTATTTGCTATCTCTTCATTTGGTATATACTTTTGGGCTAGCTCAAGAAAAATGTTTCTACTAGGAAATAAAAAACTAGCGGGAATTGAATCTACTCTGAATTCAGCCATGGCTCTAGAAAGCCACGGTACGAGAAATCTTCCCCCTCCCGAACAAAGCGTCCGTTCAGGGTCCCCTGAATAGGTTTGTGCACTAACTCGTAGTGCTTCCCAGCTTGTTTAGCTCTGGCTCTTCCAGCCATCTCTTTTCCCGGCTTGTTTATGCGGCACTTCGGTCAATGTTGCAACGCCCTTTCGGCCACTTCACCCCAATCCCATTCCCATTCCAGGCATGTGTTGAAGCTTGTTCATGAGGTAGACAGATTGTGCACAAAAGTATAGCCCCTCATCAACAGCTAGTATATTCTGTACAACCCGAGCCTCAACTAGGGTGAATCCTGACAGAAATACATCCTCCGCGCCATGCTCAATCTCCAAAACTGGTATAGAAACCTCTGGCGATGGATGTATTGAAGAATTTCCAAAAACAATTGCCACCCCCTTCCCGTGGGGGTACTTCAGCATCTGGTGTAAGGAGGAAGAGACAGCCTTCACTTGGTGCAGCCACGGCCGCCCAAGGAGTAGATTGAAGGTGGCTGGAACGTCTAAGACATGGAAC